AGCCCATTTACAATTCTACTGTGCTTAAGAACATGGGAATGGCCTAAAGACAACTTCAGTCAGGAGAACTGCCCTGGGGGATATAGTAATGAGGGTCTGACAGACCCCAATAAGTAGGCTATTTATTTTTCAGGGTTCAGGAGTAGGGGTAGATTTGGGGTTAGGGTTAAGGTGAGGGTTTCAGATTCTTAGAATTTGTTAATATCATTCAGTTTCCAAGCCTTAGGGCTCACAAAATTTGGAGTTAGCTCCAATAGTATATAATTTTATGATATCAAGTATTGATTCTAGCAAGCAGTATCTATTCTTGTTGGCTCCGTCATTGTAGTCACAGTTCAAAGATCTAAGTTCAAAGTGATAGCTCCTCCACAGTCGAGCCATAATCCCATCCACCGCTACTTCCACAGAGAGATAGTTTTAGCAGCCCACCTTCAGCCGCTGGAGAAAGAGGACAAAATCAGCAGCATGGGAACATTCACACAGGTAACCTGCTGTCTTATTGCTTGCATAACAAAAATGTGTGCTTCATGTAGGGTTTTTGATGTGCAACAGATTTCAGATTTCGTGTAAATCTATATTTGCAATAATAATAATAATAAGAAGAAGAAAAATAAAAATCACTTTTGTAGTGCCCACTCCCTGGTCGCTCTAGGCTACATCAATACAGTGGACTTCGGATTCAACGAGCTTGAATTCAATGAGGAGATGGATTCCCCGTTTTTTTTTCTTCTTTAAAATCCATAAAAATAACTTGGATTCAACAAGCTCTCAAATCAGCAAGCTTGGATTCAACAAGATCGCTTCCAGAGTGAACAGCCCCCACAGACGTGGCCTCGCTCATTTTTCTCCCACAAAAAATTTTATCTATTCTCGGAAACCATCCATTGCACCTGCATCTTGAACGATTATTCACTTATCTGTTTGCATGCAACCAATCAGCGTTTTTTTTCACACCAACACATGCGTTGTTGGCACGCGTGTGTCGGGGTCGGATGGGCGGCCTGCTCACGTGTGACTGTATGTGCGTGTCGGGGGGGGTACCAGCGGTCCGGGCGTGGAACGTTGCAGATACAAACGCGTCACAGTCTTTTTATCTCCCTGCAACTGATCATTATTTTAACGAATTTTGTGCTGGTCTATGGAATCAAAAGTTGCCGTATGCTAGGCTCTACACAGCAACACAACTTTTTGGCAAACAATCGAGATGAAACAAGTGTGCTTTTGAACGAATCAGTCTTTTTTTTGTTTTGAACAGCTCATAATTATGCAGGCAGTTCAGGCACCACTTGTTACCTCTCTTTATACATTATACTTGCTCGGGACCTGTAATTCTGTACACAAAACTTCATGTTTGCTTTAACGAACACTCGGATTCAACGAGATTTTAGGTTAGGCCAGGTGACCTCTTTGAATCCGAGTTCCACTGTATATCTCTGAGCCCTATTTGAGGTAAGAGAGCTTGTGTAGGCATTAAAAAAGTAAAGCTGTTCCCGCCTCCGATCCAGACATTGGGGATTGCCTTGTTAGTGAGATAACTTCCTTCGGCATATTGTGGTAGGGTGGCCAGTTCCTTTCCATGCCTCCTTTGCTTCTCCAACTCGAAGTGAGGTACCCATTACTGCTGGGTGGGCAGGAGGGGGCAAAAAAATCTGCGTCCGAACCGAGGCTCGAACCGGGACTTTCTGCTTCGGAGACAAGCGCTCTAACCGCTCCATCACTGCACCCTCGTTCCTTTTAAAAAAATGTTTAACGCCTACTTGACCGGCCTCACACTCGACTCTCAGTTTCCCAAGACCGGAGCTGCTGCCCACTTTGTGACTGTGCGAGATATGTGTTACTCTAATATGGATAACCCGGCATCTAGTAAAGTTATAAACCCTAAACTTCACCAAAATGTAAAAAATGTGTTTCCCAATGCTAAAACATATTTTTTTGGAAAAAATGTTTTAGTTTGAGTCATTTAAGTGTAATCAGCTATGTAATGGTAAGCTTTTGTCCTGAGTCAGTTCCAAACAGGGATAACAGACTTGATCTAATAATAATAATTATAATGTAGATCATTTCCATAGCGCCCACTCCCGTGTAAACACAGCTCTAAGCGCTTTACATAAATGCATGTACGAGCAATATTCATGCGCGCGACACAAACACAAAAGTTCACACACTCATACATACACACAAACACACACACATACACACACACAAACACACACTTACACACTCATGAACACATAACACGCACACATGTGCACACACATTTACGTCAAACACACACACACACACACACACACACACACATGTACTTGCTTATCACACGCGCGCACTTACTCATCGTCACGAAATGAGCATAAAATAATATACACAATGCAATTCACAAAATACATAAATGGATACGTAGTCATTTACCTAACATTGTATTGAACATTAAACTACTGACATAAAAAGGATCTAGTTCTACATATAAGGTATATTGCTCCTCAATCAATGATAACTGGTTGCAGATCTGTCTTTCATCACTTTGGTCCCTCGGTCCAAATAATCAGTGTCGTTGTCCGAGTCAACGCTGTTTGTATCTGTACAAATTTCGTCGAGTGCCTCTGGTTTGATAAAATACCTTTTCTAAACTCATCTTATTGCTTTCCCAATTTAATTGCCAGAAATCGAAAGCAAAATGTCTAAAAGGAACTAATCGTTGGGTTAATGAGAAAATAAATATGTTTGGAGAACCATTGACAGGCCTTTGTTTAGGTCGAGGTAATTTTACTCTCGAGTTTTCTAGTCCTCGGACAAGGGGAAGCAGTTGGACTAAGTGAGTATACTCACCCCGCAGTCCCGTAAGTGGAAAAAGCACCTTACAGTTTAAGAGGGCTCGCGGGTTAGGTCTAGAGCCTCGGGGATTGAGTTTGACTCACTCTGAGCACTGTTTTCTTGTAGCATTTTCCCATCCCTCATTCAGTCTAAATTATATTGACACTAGTCGCTGAGTGATTAACATTAACAAATCTCAATTTTATTGGGTTCTACGTTGTGTACTAATATGTTAGATGTTTAACATTGTTTTTCTCAAAACTTACTTTTTCACCACTTTTTGCTTGCATATGCCATTTTTTTTCTTTACCGTATTTTTATTTTCCAGCACAGAGATTTGAAATTTGGCAAGTAGTTAGATTAATGGTTTGTTCTTTTAATGGGCTGGTTAGTTTTATTGATTTTGCTTAGAATATTTTTTACAATTTTTTTTTCATGCCAAAAATATTTTTTAAAGATCAAATTTCATATCCCCAACTTTGAGAACAAATGTGGATACTTTTTAAGTATAGTATCAAAAATCGAAATAGCCAGCTGCAAACACCTATTTATTTGTGGTGACATTTTGCAAGTTACAGAATTTTAAAAAGTTAAGAACTAGAAATGGTGGAGAAAAAACCCATTTCTATCCAATTTTCAAGATGGCTGCTGTTTCCATGGCAATGGTTTACGTAATCGAGTGTATCAACAGTTGAGCATGAATCTTCTGTCTCGTACTTACTGCTTGGGACAAAAGTTGTTTCAGTTTGTCTTTAGTTAAAAATGTTGTCCCGTAAGTATCAAGCCCTCTTAACACATACAGTACCGTCAGCGACTTTTGTCGCCAGGCCATGGTATGCGCTCACTACAGCTGGCGACTTTATTGTCACAAACGCAACCAGGCACACTAAACTTCCGACGCAGCCATGCACACTAAACTTAATTAAACAATGAATGGACGCACTGCACTGAAGTAAATAAGCTACCAAAGGAAGTCACTAAAAATGATAGCTGAATGGTTGATGAACCTCTCTGAATTCTTAAAACGTGTTTCTTGGGCTGCCAAGGTTTTTCTAATTATCAGTGTTCGAAACTGGTGCAGTACCCATGGGTTTTTCACTATATGAGCCTTCGATACTGTAAGTGTTAAAAATGAAAACTAAAACTTTGACATATTCTACTGACTGCATTATAATTTTTCTTCTGATTTTCTTGATTTTTTCAGGTTTGGAACCAGGCTGCTGAAAAGAAGACTATATCGACGGAAGAGAGAAAGGAAGAGGAAGGAAACTTCCGGACAGAGGTAAAACTGATGTGATGCTAGATTGAAGAAGTATACACTTGAACCTGTCTAAGATGACCACATTGCGTCAAAGAGGAAAGTGGTCGCATTATATGCAGGTGGTCCTTTTAGACAGTCATTATAATTTGTGAGGCATTATGGTGAAATCAGGCGCTCGTCAAAATAACAAAATTGGAGAAACAGGCATTTTAAATTCCCACCGGTTTTGTAATTTTAATGAAATTTTTGATTTTTTGTTCATCCATTTTATATCGAAATAAAAACACTTTTCCATATGAATTCTATTGAAATATGTTGATTAAAAGCTCAAAATATATAATTTCCCAGTTTTCAAGGACTCTTTAGTTATTGAACTCACCAAACTTTGGTGGCCATTTTCTCGCTACTTTTACCACTGACACCAGGTGACACCTACTTCTTCTATTCGCAAATATCTCCTCCTGTATTCAAGATAAATGGATACTTTTTTTTATCTAAAGCATGATAAATGAACACACTTTAAGATGATACCATTAACTCTACGTGCCCAAAATTGACGAGAGCCTGATTCCTCTGCGTCGTGACACATATTAATATAGAAGACATGCAGGGAGGGAAATAGGAAGTGGTCAGTTATACAAGTGGTCCTGTCTAAGACAACCACCTGTACAACAAACACTCCCCATTTCCCCTCTTAGTTAAAAAAAAAGAAACAAAATTAAAATGATAGTCTTTTAGTTTAAAAAAAAAATTAATATGATACTGTTCAAGATGTCTACCTGTCTTAGACAACAAGTTTTCTCATCATAAATAGGTCGCCATCTTGAAAAATTCTGACCACATGTGTCACGACGTGATGGAATCAGGTGCTCATCTATTTTTGGGCATGTGGAATTATTGGTATAATCTAAAAGCTTTTTCATTTGCCTTGCTTTCAATGAAGAAAATGCCCATGTCTCTTGAATAGAAGTCCGGATATTTGCGATTGAAGGAGATGGGGTAGCCTGGATTCAGTGGTAAAATTATCGAGTAAATGGGCGCCAAAGTTATGTAATTTCAATAGTTTGAGAGCTGTTGAAAATTGCAAAATTGCATGTTTTGTGTCTTTTATCATTTTTCAGTCAAATTCACATGGAAATTTGTTTTTGTTTGGTTACGAAAGGTGTTGAGCTAAAAAACAAAAATTCTATTAAAATTGCCAAACTGATGGAAAAATGCCTGTTTCTCCTTTTTCATTCTTTTGACCTGCGCCTGATTTGACCACGATGCCTCACATATATTCATTTTTCTCCAACTCCAGTCTTGAGATGGCACCTTAGACACACCACTGGCGCTCATATGACCTTATGCAGTTGCGAGCGCCGTAAAACCCTCTACTAAACTAAACTAAACAAAGACACACCATAGACACTGTTCCTCTCAGTGTAGGGAGGTGCAGCTGTGACAGGCGGTTTTTTTTCCTCTTCTGATCTCCTTTCATGGGATTTCTTCCTCACCCTCAAGAGCTTTTGACTTGCTCTCTACTTCTAACAGTTAGGGCAAGGACATTATCTTTAAGTTCTTGAAGATCATTAGTTTTTTGTCTTTTGTGGTAGCAATTAAAAGGCTTATAAAAGTGATAATAGACTGCCACAGTTGTCGTGACGTATACATCACAATCAAAGTTGTTTACTCTGTGTAAGGCAGAAGGCTTGCATGGTACACTCACGGTTAAAAACAATTAGGAGACGCCAGTTAATGCAGTTTTTGGGACACCTGAATTGACATAAAGGTCTTGAACATCTAGCTCTCACAGGCAAAATTGAAGGCAAACGAGGCAGGGGTAGGCCCAGAGCAACCTACTTAAGGAACCTAAACAAATGGGTAACGGGGAAAGATCAGGGAAAACATAGCTTTTTTAAGAGTATCCGAGCAAAAGAATGAATGGAGAACCATGATCACCGATGTCTGTCGCAGATCTGGCACTTGATAAATGAAAGCAGAAGGCTTTGCCAGTACACCATGCTGAAGCTGTGGTATTTATAACTGCATTAAACTAGTTTTTTTTGCACCAGTACCCTTTCAGACTGAAAATTCCATATACTCATAGATCCACTCGTCAAACTTTTTATTTTTGCACTTTCTTTCATCATGACATTGAGAAAGTCCTTCTAAGCCTTTAAAACTAAAGTAAATAGGCCTACAGTATAATGCTGATAGGTCGAACACAGAATACTCGAAATCACGCCTCCTTCAAACTGTGCCTGCGGTCCCATTTTTTTTTCTCTTCTTTATCTTTAGTCAGATATCCCTCAAACTACCGAGGCCAGTCCCGGCGAGTTCAAGTTGTCCATGTTATACTGTATCTACTGTTTCATATCAATTTGTATCCCCAAGGGCAATGCAGACCTTGTAATTTTTATTTCTTTCATGATTATGTTTGCTTTTTTCAGGGTACGTTCAATGTTCCGAAGTCTGGACAAGAATTTGTGCAACGCTGGAAAAGGCTTGGTAAATCTGCCGCTGATCAGAGGAAGTTTCTTTTCACCATTGGTGCTACCAAAATATCCGAGCTCTTCAAGACAGAAATCAGTGGAGGATTACTCGGTGAATTTCTCGAGTGCTTTCAAGTCTTTGCCAACGATGAAGTTGTGTCAGTGATAGAGATGTTGGAAGCTTTCATGAAGTCGCAGAGGTTTTCACTTTCCCTAGCTTTCTTAAGTCGGAAAGAGAAAGCTGCTTGTGCTGCTTTGCTTGAGACTTTGAAGGCACATGCGACGGTAACTAGCAGTCCGGACCTCACAGAGAGGGTAGCGGGAATAGAAAAAAACTTTTGTGGCGAGAAATGAGGTGAATTCGCAACGTTTATTTCATAATGAACACTTTTTGATTGAAAGACAAAGAGAGAGACAACTGAAAATTGTTTTATTTTTTCGTTGTGAGTTATTTCACCTGTGCAGTGAAAAACTTTGCAATTTGAGTGGACATATTTCTGTTCACGTATTCTTTGCTTTCTAAGGAAGGAAGTTATTCTAACAAACCAAGATGTTAAATTCTGTTGTGTTTTTTGTATATTTTTGGTTTGAATTTAATACAGTTTTGAATAAAGAGAAGCACATTGGTACAACAATAATGACAGTCGTTTGGTGCTGGAGGAAGCCTTAAAAAAGCCGGCAGAAGCAACAGAGGGAAAGGGAAGAAGTAGAATCTACCAACGATGCCTTCCAACTACCTACTGTGTATTTTTGTATAAGATTATTCTGGTACAGAATTAGTTACTTATGACCTTCCCAAGATTGTAAGTATCATGCATTCTCACTATGTATTATCCTTCTTTATGCCCCCCT